ACTAACTTGGCACATGGGTACCTAACTCTGAGGTGGTCTGAGGTGGTGATGAGATGATTGATAAGAGTGTCTCTGGTGGGTGATCGAGGCGGATGTGTGTGTGTGTGTGTGTGTGTGTGTGTGTGTGTGTGTGTGTGTGTGTGTGTGTGTGTGTGTGTGTGTGTGTGTGTGTGTGAACATGGATGCGTGTTCATATATTGTGTATATATATATAACAGATATGGGGTCATATACGTAAATAGGGTGTAATAAACTATATGATAGTACCCAAACACACACACACACACACACACACACACACATGTTCGAATTACTTACATACATACATACATACATACATACAGACATACAGACATACATACATACATACATACATACATACATAGACATACATACACACATACATACATACATAGACACACACACACACACACACACACAATGGTCCATTATGAATCAATCCCATGCTTGGCTGGCACTATATTGTCGTCATAACACCCAACTCTCCCCCGACCTCTTCATCACCTCGCCTGCTGCGCTAAACCTTCCCCGAATAGTTTTGGTGAATCACAATAACTACAGAACCAAAGGACTGAATCCCCACATGTTAGTAAGTTTAATTTCAACAGTTCGCTCCAGGGTTCACGATACAATGATAGCAGCAGAATTTGGTGTAGATATTATACCGATTCTATAATCCGTATGTGTAGTCATCTCCAGTTATGGCCTAGAACTAATGTGAGAGTTTTTGTGAATATATGACTAAATGCTCAACTGGTTCTCGTTGAGTTATACAGTAGTATCTTTTAGCTTCGTGTTTTATTATTTTATTTTTATTTTTATTTTTTATGAAGTTTTATTTACTCAAATGTAGAGTAGCAAGTAAAGTTTTCTCTTCATATTATCCCTGTTGGCAATTTATACATCACGTATTTTTCCCGTCTCATAATATCTCCCTAGCTCTGTCAGGTAGCTTCGCCGCGCCTCGTCGATCTATCCACAAATCTCCAGGAAGTCTTAACAGGTCAGTAACCATCACGACCCACAAACATGGTCATCAAAATTCGTCGACCACATCACTTCCTCTATATATTAATCCCTAAGCCGTATTGAAACACATTACAATTCATTATTATCCCCATTTCCATTTATATATATACAATCTCTTAATGTACCTTACTTATCACCATTACTAACATAATTGAGTGCTACGACATTTAAGCGTTTGTTTATGTGAATCTCGAATAGGATAAGATGTATAAAGTAGCCAGGTTTAACGTTTAATGACCAGATATTAGAAGTCGATAATCGTATCTCTTAACTTAATGAGAACATGTCGGTGAGGCTGCTGGCTGCTGTGTGTCTCCTCGCGGCCTCAAGTTGATGTCTGGCGAAGTGGCAAATACTGTAGTGAGAACCTCGGCCTGTGAACAGTTAGATGAAGATAGTGAGTAAAATATAGATACACGGAATAACACCTCGTCCACTGTAATAGTTAAAGAAAGAAAAAAAATGGTTGATATATTTGCTGAGAAATTATCTAGTTAAGACTGTCCAAGCAGCAGTCTTAAGTTGTTATCAGATTTCATTTCATTATAAAATTTTGTTCTAAAAAGTAAGAATTGTTTATGTAGAGGTTAAGGAATCAGACTTATGCCCTTCCTACAAGGCTCACCCACCATGGCTCCTCTACACACGGACAATGCACCACTGTTATAAGTCATATTTTACTCTAGTTCTTTACATTCATTAGACTGTGTTTTAGTGTCGTGGAGTAGAGTCATTGATGTACATTGAGTTTTAACTGCCAGGGTTATTAAACACCAATCACTAGGTTTGTTCTTCGCAATATACAATAACAACAACAACACCAACACCAACATCTACTACTACTACTACTACTAGAAATAATAATAATAATAATAATGATAATAATAATAATAATAATAATAATAATAATAATAATAATAATAATAATAATTTAGAATTTATATCTAAAAATTTGGGTGCACGCTCTGAATCGTAAAATACAATGAACACGGCAGTGAAACAAAGGACAAAACTATAAAAGTTTTGTGTGTGTGTGTGTGTGTGTGTGTGTGTGTGTGTGTGTGTGTGTGTGTGTGTGTGTGTTTTAGTATTTTAATATGGCGTACGGGAATACTACCCAGGTCTGAGGATAAGGTCGGGGCGAGGAATATTAGGATCACATGGTGAGGTCAGGAAGAATAATGCCGCCGGGGTTATGTCTGGGGTCAAGGAAGTCCACGTGCTGGTAATCAGGGCTGGACTCAAGGGGCGGATTGGGTCCTGGGATCAGGGTTAGAGCGAAATGGGTCACACTCTCTGGAACAATGTTGGTTTGGGTCAAGTGTTGGGTCAGAGTGGGTGTCAGGTGCTGGGGTCAGGGGTGCTGGCCGCTGGTACCCTGACCTCTATTATTACATTCCTCTTGACCAAACTCACCAAAAGTGACACAGTTACTGAGCTGAATATTCCACCAAGAGGACGTCCACTGTGTGTTCCCAGGTAGTGAATGACGCTCCCTTAGCATGGCCTGGTGGACTTCCATTCAAGACGTATGGAATGTAAGTGTAGACCAATAATGGCAACATGACATACTGGGGTACACTTTTACCATACAATAACAACTGAAGAACTACTTTGTATATCTGGCCACGGTATGACTGGCTGGTGTGACCTCCAACCTGAACATATACTCTTGACAGCGTCTGACGTCATCATAAGGTATGGCCTCTCACCATTAGGTTAGAGCGTCACCCATAGCCACCCCTCTGGCCATAATGTTCCAAACTCCATCCTGGCCGTACCGTGAGCTAGGGTTAAAGCGGCACTCGTGAATGGACATCTGGTCCTCGTGTCACCTTCCTGGAAGTGATTTCACTGTCTGGTCAACCCTTACAGAAACCAGTTTCAGGAATCAGGCCGCACTTGGCATTTCCGGCGGCCAGGTGAGGATCTGTCATGTGTGTGCGACCTGACCTGGCCTCCTGGTGGTCGTCCGTCCTGCTGCAACATGCACGGCGTATTAATGAAGGTTGACACACACACTGGAGCTTCAAGGCACTATTCTCTGTTACCATCATCAAGGACCTGCACGGTTCTGATAACTCCATCTTGTTCTTGTGATCGTTTAATACAACCAGTCATCGTCAAGAGCCATCCAGCGACCAACATGTAGACAATACACTTGACGATCTTAAACGGGACAAATGCCTCTGCCAGAACCTGACTCTAAAGTTGTTGTATAGAGGTGAGGTCTTGAGGCACAGGAACACACATAGCAATTATCATGTAAAATTTCTTTAAGTAAACACACACACACACACACACACAATATATATATATATATATATATATATATATATAATATATATATATATATATATATATATATATATATATATATATATATATATATATATATATATACATGCTTCTTTATACGAAAATACAAAATATCTGTAATGAAATTCGAGAAGTAATATCTCTGATGCGTCTCTCTGGAAACTCTCCCCGTGATATAATTAACAGCCTCAAAACCCTCGGCAGTTACAGTGGAGTGCGTTCCTCCCCCATGACAAAAGACAGTAAATGCACCAGGAGACATTTTCCGGAGTCTGGAGGCTGGCTCAGTGGGTCCGTACACCCAGGTGAGAGCTGTGAGGGATCCTGTCTCATCATACTCACCCAGATCAGTAAAATGAGGAACCACGCACCTAACCCTGGGCTTCATACTATGGCGACATAACTTACAGAAATAAGACTTAATATTTAGTATGAAGAAAATGTTAAGAAGGAAAGAAAAATATCATAAAACATTACTGAGCATTTAAGAGTAGTAATTAAAAGTGAGACAATAAAAATGTCACCAAGTCATTTACGACAACAGTTAAAGGTAATGAAAATGGAATTTGATTTTACTTCTAAGCATCTCTAATAATAATAATAAATCTAAGTCTGATGTTTTCAAGAAATACAGAATAAAACTAAGACAAAGTGTTAACGAAATAAGGACAATATATAGTTAATACTCATTTAAGGTGTAAAGAAAGAAAAAATTGTCTTGACGAATTTAAGAAAAGAAGTTATTTTCTAAACCTTTAAAAAAAGTCATTGATCACCTGAAGAATCTCCACCAGCTTATTTCACCTAAAGATTAACCACCTAACGTTCACCCAACCGAACCTAACTTAACCTATCTAACCTAATCTATAAGCATCCCCAAATAGAATGTTAGGGTGGTTAATCTTCA